AACCGGTCCTCGGGATGGCCATGAGTAGTAACCAACCACAACAGCAGGGTGTATTTTCCGTCCATCTGCTGATGGACAGTTCAGTTATTTGCACCAGTTGGACAGGTTTGAAGTGCTGAGTACCTGGTTGGGAGCCTGGTGGTATGTCGGGGACCCGCCTCGACATTGGGGTTCAGTTCATGAGGAGAGGATACCTGACGGCGATTCATATATACACAAAAGGAGACAAAGAGAGAGACAAAGAGGCACCCCAAAGCCAGGGTGGATACATCACTGATAGGCAGGCTTGGGACTACAGGCATCGTGGCCTCTGCAGGCAGCAACTCACTGCCCTGCAATCTTTACTGCATGCCTTCCAACTCGTAATGCACTGATCTTTACTCCATGCCTGCCAACCAGCAATGCCCACCTGGGGAAGCCCAGGCCTCTGCTTTATTCAGGGGAGGAGCTTCACACCAAGCTGGGAGGGACTTAGGCAAGGTACAGCTAACATCAGTACTTTTCCAGACATTCAGGTAACTTTACATAGTACTTCACTGGTTCGAATCCCAGGCCAGCAACTTGGATTCTCAGGCCCAATTAACATATCTATAGCCCCTGAGCTAAGGTGGGGGAAGGTGAGAGATAAAGACAAAAGCTTGGGCGGAGTCCTGCTGCTTTGGCTTCCTGAGCCAGGTCTGCAGGAGGACTCCAGACGCCCAGGTGAATGGGCTGCACCTGGAAAAGGATTAGGGAGGATGGGTTCTTTGTCTATAGAAAAAGAGCTGTGAAGTAGCTAAGACATTTTTAGTTAATCCTTTGGAGAAATGCTTAACCTTACAACCTTTAGTCTCTGCTTTAGGAAAATACCCCATTTATCTGTGGATTGTCCAAAGCTCCAGTGTATTAATTTAATATATATACCTGAATATTAATATGAAAGCAATTTGCCATTAACTGCCAGTGGCCTCATTTGTTACACTCGGCCCTAGTGGGCCTCGAACCTCTGATTAGTCTTACACGGTCTGCAACAGTGGTACAAATGGTTAAGTGCTTGATGACTCTCTAGAAAGTTGGGAGTTCGAACTTACTTCAAAAGACAGATCTGACCAACTATTTCCAGAAAATCACAAACGTTCTGAAATACAGCTCTGCACACATGTTGTTGTTGTGCGCCGTCGAATCGGTTCCAAGTAATAGTGACCCCATCGAGGGTTTCTAAGAGTGGCTGGTGGGTTTGAACTGCTGACCTCTGCACACATGAGTCACCATGTATCTAACCAGCTCAACTGCAACTAACTCCAATGCTGTTAAATACTCGGAGAGCAACTTATGGTCCCATTTTCAATATGAGGAAATGCAGGCTTAAAGAGGCATCATGTCTCACTCAAGAACCGATGGTCATTATTTTGTGGAATTGAGATCAACCTTCAAATCAATTTGTTCCATAACCTGTGCCCTATGGATACAGAGTGAAGTGGTGGTGGTGGTGGTGGTGGTGGTGGTGTGTGTGTGTGTGTGTGGTGACAGAGCCAGCCATACATTCCACTTAATTTGAAGCACTTGGGTATCATTCATCTTTCAACAGGTAAGTCACCCCACACTCTCTACCTTCGTCTCTTTCAGGGGGAAGTGTGGAAACAGCTGCAAGGTTTAAAACAACAAAACCAAGTTCTTCCCTTTTGACAGGGGCAGTTGAAATAGAAACCAGAGGCAGGGTCTCTGCTCATTCTGTTTGCTGCAGGGCACTGTGTGTCCACCGGTCAGCTCCAGGACAAGGCAGGCTTCTGGGGCTCTCTGATGCCGCCTCTGCCCACCACTCTTCTGGGCCTTGGTGAGTCCAGGAATGATATGGGGACATTAGAGCAAAGGAGGGGGAGTGTGCACTACTGATGGGGAGTCCCTCCAGGGGATTCTGACACCTGGGGGAGGAACACGTTTCTCCAGGGCTCTGGGCACTCAGATCTCACCAGGGAGGGATTTGTGTCTGACCACAGAAGGCTTGGTCATGGAACCAGATACAATGGGGTGGAGACCCATTCAGGTTTAAGAAGGACTGGACTAATCTACTTGGAAGAGGGGGATTGGGGATTTGTCTTTAAAAATATTTCATAGCTAGGAAAATTCTATAGTTCGATTAATGTTGAAAAGGGATAGTCTGGGAAATTATTGTGGAACTGTAGGATAAGCACTGGACTGCTAACTGCAAGGTCTGTGGTTCAAACACATCAATTGCTTCTCAGAAACAGGATGGCAATGAGTCAGAATTGACTTGATGAGACTTAGCAACAATAGCTGTCCTCGTAGGTCCCTGGGTAATGCAGATGGCTTGTACTCCGCAAGTTAGACTATCGAGTCCTGGTGTGTTGCTGTAAGATCAGCACTGGACTGGTAACTGCAAGGTCGGCAGTTCAAACCCACCAGGTGCTCCTCAGAAACCCTAAACAGGGTGGTAATAAGTTGTAACCAACTGGACAACTGTTGAGTGACAATTCAGACGGACTCAGAGGCACCTTGGAAGAGAGCTCTGTTGACCTGCTTCAGAAAGGTCACACCATGGCATCACAGTGCGTAGAACGCACTCCACAGCTGCTAGTAACACTAATAGGAATGATGCTGACTATAAAGTCCTCTCTCCTCACCAAGCCATCCCTTGGTAGCAGCAGCCCTGTGAGGAATTGGGGTGGTGGGCATTTGTCTCATTAGAGACTTCTCTTCTAGTGTTCTTCCTGGGACCAGGGATCCAAGCACAAAAGGGTAAGTCTTGCCTTTTGATTTCTCAGTCCTCTCTCTACCCCATTGGTGAGAGAGTTTCTGACTTCAGGTGAGATTAGGGGGAGATTCTTAAATATACCCAAAATTACAAATAGAAAAAAAAGAAAAACCAAATTAAAAACAAGTGAAAAAAAAATTTTTTTTTAAATTGTCGAAGTAGATATGGGTGAACGCTAGAACCATAAGGGGGAAAAATCTGAGGGGTGGAGGTAGTTTGGATGGAGTTGGCCAGAAACTTTGTAGGAGGTCAAGTCAGCGTGAAGGAGGAAGATGAAGGTGAGATCTAGGATGTGTTCTCAGATGCTGCTTCCACCATGGACCCAGCCCACTTCCTCCTTCACATCAAAGCCATGGGTATTTGCATTTTGAAAACACAATTATGATCATTTTAGTTTCCATCAAATTGTTCTACTTGAACATCTCTTTTGCTTATTTCATATTCTCTGTACTTATTCATCTTTATTTTTCCATTTTACCTCATTTATCTTTGATTTTTCAACCCTTTCCTTTTAATTTTTATTTTCACTTCTTGTATATTTGCTTTTGACTTCACTTATTTTTAAATTTAAGGCAATTTTTACTTTTTCTTGGGGGTGGTTCCATAATTTATCTTCAGATAAAACCAGACTCTCTTTTATCAGACCTCTAATTTCTCAGCTGGTGCTGTGGGATAAAGCACTGGGCCGCAAGGTTGGTTTGAGCCACAAGGTCGGTGGTTCAAACTCACCAGCTGCTCCTTGGAAACCCTATACAGGGACGCTATGAATCGGCACTTAACAACAACAACAATTTCTCAGCTGGAGCCCTGGTGTGGCACTGTAGGATAAGCACTGAACTGCAAGGTCAGTTTAAACCACAAGATCGGTGGTTCAAACTCACCAGCCACTCCTTGGAAACCCTATACGGGGTCACTATGAGTAGGAACAGACTCAATGGCACTTAACAATAACAATTTCTCAGCTACATTCAACCCCATGGTATCCAGTTCACTTTTCTCTAGAAACATTGGCTTTCTTTCAGTTTTTTAAACCCACCCTGAAGGATTCAGTATACGCCAGTTTCTCCTCCATCCATATCTGCTCAGCTCAGGCCTCCTGTCCCTCAAGGCTCAGCTCTTAGGCCTTCAGACAGGGATCAGAAATTCCTTTCATCTGCCCCCCTTGACTCTTGGATTCCCCACTAAGAACACTTGTTACAGTTTGAAGTGTAAATTTGGACAATTATTTGATCAGTCTGTCCTGCCTCCTAGACATTCAGCTCCAAAAGAGCATGAATCTGATCCTGCTCTGAGCTTCTGAAACTGATGGACATAGTACTCCATGGAAAGAATGCAAACACTTGTACAGAGGGAAGAAACTGAAATGTGGTTGAAAGTATGAATGAGTGGGTAGGTGGGTAACTGAGCAAGAGAGTGAATGATTAGGTAAATGAGTAAGTGAATGAGTAAGTGAATACATGAATGAATGAATGATTGAGTGCATGAATGACTGAGTAAGCAAATGAATGAGTGAATTAATTAATAAGTGAATGAATGGGTCAGTGAATACATGAATGAATGGTTGAATAAGTGAATTAATGAATTAACTAATTAATAAGTGAGCGAATGAATGAGTGAATGGAAACTTTGCCAGCTCAGTTGTGGAACCAGGCCCCATCCAGCCTTATCCTCATTGGATTTTACCAACTTTGACACAATCTTCCTGTTTTTAGTTTGAAACCCCTCTCTCCCTTACCCTACTCAGCTGAGACAGGCTAGGGTTCTTCAAAAGGCTCAGTAACAAGGAAATGGACATCAGACTCAGATGGATGTAGAAAATGCACAGGCAAACCCAGAGGTGATTGCTCAACAGAGGACTTGCAGTAGAGGCAGGGAACCCTCTTTTGCTAGGCGCCCACTAGTAATGATACTTATTTGTGATCTGACAAGCACTTTGCAGACACGCACACAAATCTGCATCTCATATATTCCCAGCAGGGACTGGTCCCAGTTTCAGGTTCATTCCTGCCAAACCCAGACTCCTGCTTTTCTTGCTAGAACTCTCCATGAATGCCCTGACCCTCTCCATCCTTGGCTGCCCTCTCCCCATCCTCTGTCCCCTGGAAAGGCAGGGACAGAGCTGGGCTCTGCAGAGACACATCCGGGATGTGGTGTGATTTAGTGACACACATACTTCCTGTGTGACAACGAGCAAGGCCCAAAGGAGACCAAGTCTCAGTCTCCTTATTGTCAAGTGGAGAGACTCGTGATGAGGATGAATGCGGATGTGGATTTGGTGTGAGAGGTCTTTGGGGAAGATGGAAATGTTTTAAGCTTGGATTGTGGTGAAGGTTACACAGCTCTGTAAATTGACTGACGTAATTGCATTTTAGAGCTAAAAGTGGGTGAACTTTGTGGAATGGTAGTTTCCTCCCAAGTGGACCCTGAGGTGTCTTTTCTGATTCCTTCCTAGGGAACATGCCCAGACCTTCCATCTCAGTCTAACCAGGCTCTGTGGTCCCTTAGGGGGCATGTGTGACTTTCGTATGTCGTGGCCCTCCTGGGGACCACATATTCAGACTGGAGAAAGAAGGGGAACCTCTACATACTGTGAAGAGCAATTCTGGGACTGCGGCAGAGGCTAGATTCTTCATCACCTCAGTGAACAAAGACTCTGGAGGGCATTATCGCTGTCTCTATTACACAGGGGATGTCTGGTCTGAGCGCAGTGAGTTGGTGGAACTGATGGTGACAGATGAGGAGTTACCCAGAGTCCCCACCCTTCTCAGACTCTCCTCTCGTGTTTGCTTGTCCCCAGGCCCTAGGTCCTGTCCCCAGCTCTATCAGGGTTACAGAAATACCCCTGCTTTCTTTCCTGACCTAGTCTCTTACGCCTCCTGGTTCTCTCTCTCCTCAGCACACATTTTCATTCTGCCTTCAGACATCACTGGGCTCCCTGGACACCTGGATCTCCTCTGACTATGGAAGACCTGGACAATTGACTCCAGGATCAGGAGGGGGACAGGGCTGGCCACAGATTGGTGGGTGAGGAGTGGGTTCCCAGCTCCCTCTGGTTCCTCTGTCCAGAGATTGGTTGCAAGACAGACTCTCTTCAAAGGAACTTGCCTCAATTTGCCCAAGAAGGCATGTTAGATTCTCACTTAAACTGAGTCAGAATCATTGTGATCCCAGGCAATATGTTGCGTGGTGGTGTGGTCCATCCATCCCAGGGGACAGTTCCACACTGTTCAGGGTTGACCTCTCCTTTCGAGGAAACTATAGAGTGAGACCAGCACGACCCTGTGTGTACCTCAGTCTGAGTTTTGGTCCATTAGGAGGCTCCAACCTAATGCATGTTGTTCCAGGGCCTCCAATGAGTGTCCCATGCTGATTCTGAGAGGTCAAGAATCTTGGAGCAAAGTACCCACTCTTCCCCCACCTTCCCTACCTGTGTCTTTCCTCCCTGAATCGATTTACCTGGGCTCAGAGCTTCGAGCTCACAAGTCTAGCTATAGATGACCACCATGCTGGACACAGAACTCAAAGTGCAGAAAGGTCCAGAGACAGCTCATGGTGGGGGAATAGAGTCAGTAACCTCAACAAATTATAAATGTGGTGTCTCTGTCAAGTCTCCTGTCTCTCCATCCTATGTTCTCAGGTGTCTCAGGCTGTTGTCTGTGATTGAATAATGTCTACATGTGGTCTAGGAATGGATGCTCATCTGGAGAAGGGTTAGGTTGTATGGGACTGACCATTCGAAGCCCCTATATAAGCTCTCAACCTATCTCTTCTCCCCATTCACAAGAGCCCCTGAGCTTCTAGTCTGTCACTCACTCTTCAGCTGGTGAGTAGCACAACCTCAGCCAGAGTGGGGCCACTGGGGTCCCTGTGATGGAGATTGGCCCTCTTCTCTGGGTTATGAGCAGGGCCTTGTCAAACTAAGAAAAGAATGAACACCATTTAGGTAGAATTATTGGAAACAAGAGTATCCCTAGATACAGGAGTTAAGTTTGATCACGGGAAGATCTGAATTTTCCAGTTTTGCCCTGCCACCAGCACTTTCTTGTTGGCTGGTTGAGAGAAGAGAGCAGATTAGCCCCAGCGTCATGCAAGCAAGGTGGTGGGAGAAGAGAGGTAGGGAGGCAAGTTCAAGGGCATTTGTGCTACATGGACATTCATGGGGAGGATGCAGGGAGCTAAAGAAAGACTGAGAAGGGAAAGGAAAGGCTTCCTCAGCTTTGTGAAAGCCTTTTGTGATTCCAAGGTGGGCCCAGTGTCCTCAGCTCCTCACCCACCAAAAGGGACCACCAGACAGATAAGTCACCAGGAGGAAGTGCAGGATGGAGATGGAGACAGGGCCCATCAAGGAAAGTGTAGAAGGAGCCCCTAATGCAAGTGTTGGGATGGTGTTGTCCATCTGTTGACGACCCCACTGTCCTGCTTCCAGCCCCCAGTTTCCAGAACTACACAGTGAAGAATTCTGCTTGTATTGGCTTGGCTGCTGTGGTCTTGCTGATCCTGGTGGTGATTCTGGCAGAAGCTTGGCACAGCGAACGCAGATCTCAACATGGCCCCATGGTATGGAAACAAGATGGTGCCAGTCAGCGGAATTAGACTCCAGGACCAGGATGGAGACAGGATGACTTCCACCAGACAGACTAGTCTGCAGGCCCAAAGTGGAGACAAAAAGGACCATTCCAGAAAAGACTGGACTCTAGGCCCATCCCCCAGAACTCTGAAGCCCATCGGCAGAAACAAAGGACAGCAGAACTCTCCATGTGCTGGGGATGTGCCCAGTGAGGAGGCTGCCCCTGGGACAGTAGGGGAAAGAAGAAAGGACCCAAACAGGACGTTCTTGAAAGACATCTGGTGCAATGAAAACATGTTCCATCCACTCTCTGATCTTTCAGTTGTCTGTATTCCATGTTCGACTGTGATCATCACAACACCACATCCCATGCCTTCTCTCTTTTCCCCTGGGTTTTAAACCAGAGATACCATTTTTCCCAGCCTCAGTCTTCCTGTCCTTCCTTCTTCCTCCCCAGTTTCAGAGACTCCCAAGCTTGGAACTGCCATCTCTATAGTTTCCATTCTATTGTTTTTGTGATATCCTCATGTGTGGTGGCTTTCCCATTCTGAGCTAGTAACTATTAGAACCCAAAATTGGAAGACTCATAAATGAATGCATCACTTCATGGAAAACATCCAACTGCCAACCTGGGATAACCAAATTGAACTGTTACGAGAGTGAGAAATAAACATTTCGTTGTGATGAACTAGTGATATTTTGAGATTTGTTTGCTTTGAATGTAACGTCACTACAGGCTACGTATCACCACTGCAAGTCTTTAATTTCTTAAAATAGTTCAATATGTACCTTTCCCATTAGACAATGAGCTTCACTGATTAGTATTACGGATTGAATTGTGACCTACAGAAAGCTATGTTAAAGCCTTCAACCATGAATGCGACCCTATTTGAAGATAGGGTCTTTGTTTGGTTATGCTAATGAGACCACACTAGAGTAGTAGTTGTACCATCGAGAGACTCATGAACTTGGACTCATAGTGACCCTGTGCACAACAGAATGAAACACTGCCTGATCCTGGGCCAACCTCACAATTGTTGCCACAGTTGAGCCCACTGATGCTCCCACTTTGCTAATCCACCTCGCTGGAGATCTTCCTCTTTTTCTCTGACCCTCCACCTTACCAAACATGATATCCTTCTCCAGCAACTGGTCCCTCCTGGCAATATGTCCGAAGTATGAGAGACGATGTTTGGCCATCCTGGCCTCCAAGGAGCACGCTGGCTGCACTTCTTCCAAAACAGATCTGTTGGTTCTTTTGGCAGATAGGGAGGGTCCTAAACCTATGTCCTTCTGAACAATGTGTATAAAGGGGAGTGCATACACAAAGACCCAGATTCACACTGAGGGAGACACCATGTAAGGGTCCATGTACAAGACCAGGGACATCAACAAATGCCTGAGGCTGCTAGAAGCTGAAAGAGACAAGGAATGATCTCCTAAATTGGATATCTCCAATTCATACTCTTGGTGTGGCGCTGTGGGTTAATGCACTGGACTGCAACAGTGCTTTGAACTGCAAGGTCAGCGGTTCAAGCTCACCAGCTGTTCCTTGGAAATCCCATACAGGGTCACTATGGGTCAGAACTGACTTGACGACACTTAACAACAACAACAATTCAGACTCCTAGCCTCCAAAATTGTAAGATTATAAATTCCTGCTTTTGAAAATTGCCCCAATTGTGGTATTCTTGTCACAGTGGTGGTGGTGGTTATGTGCAATGGAGTTGGAACCGACTCACAGCGACCCTGTACAGGGTTTCCGAGGCTGTAAATCTTCACAGGAGCAGAAAGCCTCATCTTTCTCCCGCGGAACAGCTGGTAGTTTCGAACTGCTGACCTTGCGGTTAGCAGCCCGATTTGTAACCACTACGCCACCAGAGCTCCTTGTCACAGTAGCACTAAGTAATTAGACAACTGGCGTATCTCAAACATCTGACACAGAACTAAGTCCTTAATATGCACAGGTTAAAAATGTGGTGATTAACCCTCCCCCCCAAATTTACCAACTTACTTTTATTCAAGTTCATTGGGGAGATGAATTGTTTAAGGCTTGTGTTCTATATAAGGCACAGTCAGCATTTCAAATCAGGACTCCTGATGTGACACTGTAGAATCAGCACTGGACTGCGAACCACACAGTCAGCAGTTCAAATCCTCCAACTGCTCCTTGGAAACTCCGTACAGGGTCACTATTAGTCGGAACCAACTTGATGGCACTTAACAACAACAACATTAAGTCAGTGTTTAAAATGCCTTTCCTCATCCACATGCCTTGGGTATGGGTGCCCCCAAAACTGGCAACAACCATCCCTCTAAGGCTCATTCTCCTCACCTCATTGCAGTGGCCCCACAGAACTCTCATACCGTGCTCACAGTTGGGGGGCTTCTAGGGAAGCTCACAGGCTACAGTTCAGGGTGAGAATGTTCAGAGCACAATTCTAGTCACAACAGCCTCTACGCCGCCGCCATGCCCATAGGCTGGTCTCTGTCTGGCCCTCAGCCTCTTGGTCTGGCCCCAACCTTGATTCAGCAATGTTACAACACTCTTAGGATTGCTGGGAAATGCCTAAAGGTCACATTACTCCACCATAGACCTCTGCTCCAAGGCACTCAGCTGTAGCTCTTGGGTCAGCAAACCTCACTCCCCAATTAAGTGTCTGGAGGCACTCCATTCCTAAAGCCAGCTGCCGACCCAAAGGCATTCAGCTTTCCTTGCTCCCTGGCCTGGAAGCCCAGCATTTGATCATCTCATGTCCGGGTTCTTGGTCCTGCAGACAGCTCCTCTGTTTCTGGGTCAAGGAGGTTCAATCTGCTGGGATCTCAGGGTCTAACAGACAAGTTCCACTCCTGACTCTTCTTCTCTGATGGTAGTAAGATCCTCTCTCCCACTTCTGAGATGACTTACTTTATACCCAGGTAAGAGTTTCAAGATTGTACTATCACAATTAGCATCGTTAAACAATCACTCATAACTGAATTATGTGATCCATCAGCATCTTCCCCCACCTTCTCTTATCCACATCACTAGGAAAAAGTTCTTTGGTGGGAGTTGTTTGGAGTTCTGGTGCAGCACTGTAGGATAAGCACTGGACTACTAGCTGCTCCTCAGAAAACCTTTACAGGGTCACTATGAGTCGGAACTAACTCGATGGCACTTAACAACAATATCATGGCTAGAAGAAACATTAAATAATTCACTGCACCACAGTGGATACGGTGTTTGTATCAGAGATGTCTTCCTGGTAAACTATGGGTTGTTGTTGTTAAGTGTTGTCGAGTCGGTTACAACCCACAGTGACCCTGTACAGGGTTTCCAAGGAGCAGTTGGTAAGCTTGAAACGTCGATTTTGTGGTTCACACTGACTTGGCAGTCCAGGGCATTAACTCA